AATTTTAACTTATTGGAAGTTACAGTGCAATCTGTCTTGCAAATATTAGATGTGTAATACATCAAAAGATAAATGTGTAAAGAAGCTTAAATTATAAAAATCTAAATCATTTTGAAGAAACAGTCCAGAATGCATTTACTAGCAATTCCATAAGGGAAGATTCGTTTTAAGGAAAGGTTCAGAGTTCCACCATAAAACTCAACTCTGGCTTTTAAATGCTGAAAGTTGATCATTCCTGTATTTCTAAAGATAATGTCTGACAATTTTCCAAAGTGAGAATGCTCCATGTCCTCATAGGAAATTCTCTTTTGGCAATTATTTGTCATACTCAAGACAGTGAAAGGATAGTTACTAAAAGCCAAGCTTTAGTTTTGAATAAGTATTATACTTAATTTGAATAAGTATTTACAGACTACACTATAATTAATGCAACTGCTGAATATGGTTTATTTTGTTTATTTTATTTTTTATCCCACCTTTATTTATAAGTAATTCAAGGTGGCAAACATTCATAATACTCTTTCCTCTTCCTCTATTGCCTCACAACCACCACCATGTGGGCGGGCGGGCGGGGGGGGGGGGCAGAGACAGGCTGAGAGAGTGACTGGCCCAACAGCTTTCATGCTTAAGATAGAACTAGAATTCACTAGACGTGCCATTTTTAGGCCAGCACCATTAACCACTATACCAAACTGTCTCCCTTATTATGAAGGGAATCTAATCCATATTTAATAAGAGTGTATTTCAGTTATTATATTTGTGACAAATAGATTAGGAAGTAATAATGTGAAAAACCTCAGTCACTGTCAATCAGGAGAGATAATATAATTCGATGAACAAATATGATAACATTGCATAAGATAATTGTATGATCCAAGGAAGTGAGGAGCTAAATAGCAACTTATCTTCTTATCTGAACCAGTAGAAATGGATTTGTTTCCTCACCATTTCTTATCATTCTCTGAGTCTGGTGAGAATAAAAAGAAAGGGTAGCACCATGACCATAAAAGACAAGGAACTCAATGTTCGTTTCTATCCAGTAGGTATTTGTTATCTACCACTGATATGGATTTGTTATTCAAAGTGTTGAATAAGTGTTGAATAATTGGTTTCTTAATATGAGGAAATCAGAGTTGATGTAGCACTTTGAAACTTAAAAATACACAAATGAACTTCATCTGTGTTATATTTTTTTCTAGACGTGCCAATTGTTTATCAATGCTGCTGTGGATTCCCCTGCTATTGACTACCATGTGTCTTTGGCCCAAAGTGCATTGCAAGTCTGTCTCACACATCCAGAGCTTCAGAATGAAATCTGTTGTCAGTTGATAAAGCAAACAAGAAGACGACAGCCACCAAATCAGATAGGACCAGTTCAGGTGCTAAACATACTAGACGGGGTGGGATTCAATTTTTTAACAACCAGTTCTGTGGGCGTGGCTTAGTTGGTGGGCATGGCTTAGTTGGTGGGCGTGGCTTGGTGGTCATGTGACTGGGTGGGCATGACCAACTCGACATCACTCATGTCAAGGGGCACTTCTACTCGCCTGGCCTCTCATGACAGTGTGGTTGCTGCAACGGTCATAAGTGTGAAAAATGGTCATAAGTCACTTTTTTCAGTGCCATTGTAACTTTGAATCGTCTGTTGTAAGTCAAGGCTTACCTGTACAAAAATACAAAAAGCTTCTTTGCTTGCAAAAAGCTGCCCTAAATACCAATCATTAGATTAAAAGTACCTGCAAGCCGGAGTTACAAATCAGGCAGGGTGCCAGAGCACCTTGAGGAATGAAAATAGTTAAAATGCAGTGAGCTATCAAGCAGCTAACTCTTGCTCATAAAGTGAAACCCTTTAGCAGAGAGGTCATTTAAGGTCTCCAGAAAAAGCACACTTGGGAAAAGCAATCCTTAGATCCATTTGCACCACTTAAAGATACCAGCTAGTTTCACTCACCTCACAAGATATCCTAAGGAAATCATCCAGATTTAAGGAAAGGTCGCAAGCCCGCCAGAAAGGCAGTAAAAACAATCAGTGCCAAGCTTGCATCCTGCCTCTTGGAAGTATACCCCAAAAGGACAGTGCCAGATAGTATTAAAGCAGTGAAGGAAGACCCCCTCCCCAGATAGAAAAAGAAACCATGAGGCAGGAAAAAATTCAAACACAATACAAATAATTAAATCACAACAGTAGCTGTTGCTTTGTTGAAGCTGAATAGGGAAAATTATCCCATCAATAAACACAGGATTAAACGTCACCAAGCACAGAATTAACCTTCACCAAAAACCAGTTTTAGACCAAAATTCAGAAAGGATATGTAAACTCACATTTGAACGTCAATCTTTCTAGCTAGCCAAGAAGCCTTGCTGAATGTCACTCATCTTGGTTCCCTGTCACTAAAAGCTTTGCTTCATTATTCAATTATTTCTTCAAAGTGCTGATTGTCCAGGGAAGTATTTCCTCCCAACAGCAGTGTAAAAATGTTAAAATAAGCCTTCCCCTTTAAGAAAGTCAAGCCCCAGAAGCTCCGGAGACAGGAAGTCTAGGCGTACTGGCAAGAATGTAATAAGGGTGGAAAAAAACAAAAGGAGATTGCTTCTAACTACCGGTTCTCTGAACTGCTTAGAAAGTTAACAAAGGGGTTCTATAGAACCAGACAGAACCAGTAGAATCCCACCCCTGATACTAGAACAAATATCTGCCACTCCTATACTGAGGATGGATGGTATAGGTTTTTTAAATAAAAGTGTGTGCAATAAAAACACTAAAATATACATCAGAATATGATAAAAATAGTCTATTTTTATTTTCTTAATTGTATCACTTCTCTTAAATAGCAACTAACCTTATTTCATTTCCAACAGTGTTTAATGCCAGATAATTCCTTAATGTCATTTTCCTTCCCAGTTGTTATATACTGTTTTCTCTATTATCTGTCATTAAGCTGAAGTATAGAAAACCTATGAAATAGCAAAATGAACTGGGCAAAAATGTATTGTGTGAATGCAATATTGCCATTTAAAAATTGTTTTGCTACATTAATTCAACATATATTACATTCATTTGAAAAAATTTCCACAAATGGAAATCTGTGATGAATTATAACAAATAGTTTTGTATTGTCAAACCAACTGATAAAACAAATACATATCATATTTCTAATACTAGACTTGGGAGTTTGCATTATCTGAGTTTTATGTATCTATTTTTCCTTTTCCTCTCTATTGTATTCTCCTGTCTATTGTCTAATTTTGGTTATCTTTGCTCTAATCTTACAAAAGTATTGTATTTTTTGGACTATAAGACACTCCGAAGTATAAGACACACCTAGTTTTGGGGGAGGACAACAAAAAAAAAATCTGCCTCTGCCTCCCAGCAATTTGCCTTCTTGCAGCAAACAGCCTGGTCAGCTTTAGCATAGCCTGAGCAGCTGATTGTCGGTTCGATCGGCCTCCCGAAGATCAGCTGTTTCAGGCTGCAGGGATCTCCATAGCCTATTGCCGCCTCCACGTGCCCCATTTTCGGCCTCCGCATCCTGTTTTCAGCCTCCGCGTGCCCTGTTTTCGGCCTCTGTGCGCTCTATTTTCAGCCCGTTTCAGGAAGTGGGGATTGGAATGGGCCAAAACTGGGGTACATGGAGGCAGCAATAGGTGATGGCAATCCCTGCAACCTGAAACAGCTGATCATCGGGAGGCAGATCCAATTGACAATCATCTGCTTGTACTCAATCAGGCTATACCGACCAAAGGGTGGGGGCCAGTGGATGGGCGGGGCTTTGGCAACATTCGCTATATAAGACGCACAGACATTTCCACCCATTTTTGGGGTGGGGGGTGGGAAGTGCATCTCATACACCGAAAAATGCGGTATACACAAAACGAATGTCTTTAAACTGGATTCTCAGAGGTTGGTGTCTATCATTTTCATAGGCTTTGTTTGAAGACAATTTGATCCTGGGAGAAACTTGAGGCAATTATTCTGCTTTCCTTTCTTGACTAGGCCTGGCAGCTTTTAGCACTCTGTGTTGGACTCTTCCTCCCACAGCACCCATTCCTTTGGTTCATCAAACTTCATTTGAAGAAGAATGCAGATTCCAGGTATACCTTATGAAAAATAAAATTACTGAAATCAAAAAATTGCTTTTTATTAATGAAATATTGGAATGGAATGTAACACAGAAACATAAAACATTTTTGCGTAGAGCAGTTCAATTATTATTGTGACCTCAGTGAAATAACCTTGAATGCTATCACTTCAGCATTCTTTTTTTAACATTTAAAGTCCAACTTGGGCTCCAAATTGGAAACCAAGTAGGCTTGTTGAGGCAGAACCAGCTTATGGCACTGAGTAGGCACTCAGCCTCCAAGGTGGCACTGGCCTAAGGTACAAAAGTTTAGGGGGCCCCAATGCTATAGATATTCAATTCATATTTTGGTTAACATTATGAACTAACAGATTTCCCAGTTTAGCTCTACCTCTTGTTCTGCCTTCTAGCCTTTATGTTATTCTTCAGTTTAAACCACAGATTTCTAAAAAGAAATTCATTATGACTTTTCAATTCCTAACAAAACTTTATCTCAGTTCTCATTTTTTTCTGCTTCAATCTGACTTTAAAAAAAGATATTCTTGTTCCCATTGCTTCAGCAAGCAAACAACTTAAAAGACATAAGTTAATAGCTTTTTTAAAAAAACAGTTCTTCAACACATTTGCGAAGTATTTATAGAGAGTGTCCTTATGCCAGTCTGGAACTCTGTATATCAAATCTAAATTCATGTATATAATCCACAGATCTGTACTATGACATATTAAACTCTTTTAAACATTAACATGACCATTTGAAATCCGTTTTAAAATATGAAGCCATAAAGACTAGCTTTGCGTTTACAGGACTGAGTTTGGAAAATACGCAATTTACTGTCAACGATGTGTAGAACGAACACAGCAGAATGGTGACAGAGAAGCCAGACCATCAAGAATGGAAATTCTTTCAACACTTCTAAGAAATCCCTACCATCACTCCTTGCCTTTTAGCATTCCAGTACATTTCATGAATGGCATATACCAGGTAGAATTAAGCATAAAATGATGCAAAATTATAATGGGAAGTTAAAATCACAAATGTCACAGATATTTAAAGATTACAAGTTTAATTGCCTCCTTATTGATAAACAGATAATTTTCAATCTGAATGCATGTTTATGTGTGCACATTTTTATTCAATAAATAAAGATTGACCAGATAAAATGAATATACCTTTTAATTAGAAAAACAATTTGCAGCAATTTATAATAAATTATTCATGCTGACTTTGGTGTTATATGCAGTTGTTTTATGGTATTGAAAGTTTCTGAATCTCACCTTGGAGGCTAGTGTGGCCTTCAGAAGGCATATAATTAGCTCTAGTAATTGTGTGTGGTGCTTGTAGTAGACATAATTTCTTTCTTCTGAAGATTAGAGCATTGATGATTTCATCTAGCCAAGATAAATGCTTGCAACCAAGCAAGTACAATAAGAAGCAAATACAATATATATCTACAGGAGAAAGTGAGTGCCCATAGGCTATGTAATATACCTTTCAGTTACTGTAGACTCAGAATCGTATTATTCATTACTTCATTGTCTATGACTTTACAATGAGCATATACGTGTAATTGTAATTCTAGGACTCAGCTGGTGCTATTTTGGAAAATATGTCTCTTTGACTCTACCCTTATTTTTATTTTTATATTTTGTACAATTTTCCTTAGGTCTATATCATATATTTGTGTTTTCAGTCTGATTTGGATCCATATATGTACTTCTTAGGTGGTAGAACATCCCTGAATCCAGTCCTCTAGATGTTACTTTCATATTTGCAGCATGATACTTGTTACTTTAAAATCTAATATTCAAGTTTGGTGCAAAATTAATTGATGTAAAATTTATGTGATCTGCACAGGTTGTTGGATTTGATGCTTCTACCACTGTTGAAGAATTTTTGAACACACTTAATCAGGATACAGGAATGAGAAAACCTGCACAGTCAGGATTTGCTCTATTTACTGATGATCCTTCTGGCAAAGATATTGAACATTGTCTTCAAGGGAACATCAAGGTGAGCAACTATTTTAATGATAAAATATATATTATTTTTAGATAAGAGAATTAAGATTGGAACTATAGTTTCATGTGTTACTTTTTTCTACATACAAACAAAATAAAGTAGTATAATAAATAGTAAAGATTTTTATATTGTTCTATTCAAGTTTGTTCATAAATTAGTTTTCATAAAGTTCATTAAAATATAATTTGAAAAGAATAACTGTAAAAATGTTCAGTCTAATATGAGTGTAATACTCTGTCACAGCTGATTTGCATGACATTGTTAAGGGCCAGTAAAACAATTCCCCCTCGTTCTTACTTTATTCCAAAATAAGTTTAAGCAAACAGCACAATAAAATAATTTTAACCAAAATGTACAATATGGGGCAACTCATGGAAAAAAATGTTCTTCGTGGCTTTCCTTCTAGATCTGTGATATTATTTCTAGATGGGAGCAAGCCTCTAAAGAGCAGCATCCAGGAAAATGTGAAGGCACAAGAACAGTTAGGCTTACTTACAAAAACAGGTATAAAATAATGACTTTCTTCTCTTGTCTTCTATCACTATAAAACTTTACACTTTAGAATAGATTTATATCTTTTTTTCTGCATGAAACTACTTTTTAAGATTCTTGACTGCTTACCTGCCTTTGATCAGACTTTCAGCAATAACATTAGTTATTAAAATGTTAAAAGATGCACGTTCAAAGTGCATTATCCTTCTGATCTCTTATCTCTTTTTCTCTTTGAAAAACTAGAAGGGAAGAAACAGGTCAAAAGATCTAGGAAGATCCACCAGAATCCTCCTTTCTTAGCTTGCATATCTCCTAATAAGAATGTGCAAAAATTCAGAAAGAGGAAACTAAAGGTACCGGCTTAATTGGATTCCATCAGAGAAGGTCATTTCCACATTGAAAGCAGCTTGTAGTGCACCAAGGAGATGGTAGTGCACCAAGGAGAAACAAATAGAAACTGGTTCTCCTGTGTACAATCTTCTGCTCTTGTGTTCTGAGAAAGGAGATTTCCTGCTGAAATGGAAATTCAGATTATTATCTTAGCCTTGTCTTTGTCTTTTTTATCTCCTTGCCTTATTTCTTGTGATTTTCCCGCTGCATGGCTACCTTATATTTTCTTTTCCTATAAAAGTTTTATAATACTGACATTTAGCTAGACCCTCTGTGAATATCACTGTTTCAATATCATTGGTTTTTTTCATTGCATTGTGTCACCATAGTCTTAAAATTTATCTCTTTTGATATTTCTAGAGGGCATAATTTTCCATGAATTCAGTTTACAAATGATCAGACTTCTTTTTAGTAGCCTTTAAAATGTGTATTACTAGAACTGACTTTATATATATTTCAGTACCTTATAATTTATTCCCTGCACATACTGCACATACTATGTGATTATCAGCATTTAACATATCACTGTTTTCTTTTACAGGCTTTATTTTTCAGTACAAATCCGGGGAGAGACAGAAAGAGAAAAGCTACTGTTAATGTATCAGACAAATGATCAAATTATAAATGGGTTCTTCCCTGTAAATAAAGATCTGGCACTAGAATTGGCAGCACTTCTGGCCCAGGTAATTATGTTTGTGATTTTCTAGCTGTCTGCCTTTAATGTAGATTTCTTTTATGATATAAAGCATAGATAAATCAGTTACTCTTACGTTCTGGAATGTTAGGTCTTACGCTTGGAATAATTCTTTTTTTATCTGAACCAAAGCCTTATCAAATCAGTGAAATTCAACATTTTATTTTCTGGTAATAGCCAAATTGTGAAAGTAAAGCAGTGATGTTGGTGAATTGATCTTTAAATATCTTTCCAAATGATAAGTTTTAATGTTAATACTAAGCAGCATTTTCCAACTTTGCTACATATAATAAGGGTTGTCCAGTCCCACATAGTGCATAGGATGATTTAATATTTATTTATTACTAATTTATATGCTAATCCAATTCTAGAGACTCTAAAATTGACACCTTGCTTTTTATAAAGTATGCTTTATGTATATCTTTTGTTAACTTTTTTGTTAGTTTTTAGTGTTTAGGGAATGTGTCAATTCTAGCAAAGATGAGAGGTATACATTAAAAAAATATGTTAGGCGAACATTAACATGCCGTAAATTAACTTTTTGTGACGCACTTGAAACCCATTTAATAATGATGAAAAACTTTCAGCTTCTAAAAATAAGTCATGGAGTTTACAACAATTAGATTTATTAGGATTATTTAAAAAATACTGAGAACATACACATTACATTATAGATATTAGATTGTAGATGCTTAAGTATGCTGAGGTGTTAAGATGCTTTTGTAATACTTTTTCATTCACTATTTTTTTCTTATGTTGCTTATCCACAAGGTGGAAATAGGAGATTTTGAAAGACCTTTTTCAACTCCAGCAGGTCAAGTAACTTCCCTGTCAAAATTTAATCAAACTTTAAAACAAGTTGTAGAGAAATTTTACCCCAAAAGATACAGAGATAATTGTTCAGAAGAACAGTTAAGGTACGTTACTAATATTTATATCTTTAAAAAAGTTGCAAATAGAACTACATAAAGGTCCCATTAAATGTTGCAGTAATTTTTATTTCTTAGACAGAGACTAAAAAAGTTGGATAAATTATTTCAACACATATGATTAACACCCAAATTAAATGTACACTATTGTTTTTAATATTTAATACCAGTAGTTTCATTTTTTATATTTATGATAATAATTAATTGTTGTAGTTGAGGCCTGACATCTCAGAATATATAATGGTAAAAGAAAAAAATGTAACACATTGCAAACTGAAAGAGCACTGTACATGTGACATCTGCTCCATTTTCTCATCATACACATATCTTTTTCATTTCTATGGCCAGTAAGCTGGAAATTATCTCATATCACATTAACTAAATCCAAAATTTAAAGTTACAGAATGATGCTACCTCATTATATGTATATATAGACATAAACATAGACACTGTATATACATATATTGTGCTTCATTTAATGTCAAATAATTCATTTTATCCCATTTGTTTTATTTTGCATTTTCCCCCTTATGCTTCATGTTAAAAGACAGCTGTACCAGAGATTATCAACCAAATGGATGGCTCTTCGTGGGCATACTGCTGTAGATTGTGTGCGCATTTATCTTGCTGTGGTACGGAAGTGGCCTCTCTTTGGGGCCAAGCTGTTTGCAGCAAAAGTGAGAGAAATTTTTTTTCACTTTCTTCTTTACCAGAAAAAAAATCTTTGCCTGTACATGTTTCCTTGCACTTTCTACCCTTGCCATTAAAAATAATTAAAGCATTTAGTAATTAATATCTTATGTGGATTTTATAAATGTATTGAATGAATGGAGCAGGAAATATTCAACTGGTAAGGATCATGATCAACACTTTAATCAATTCAGGAATGGCTATCCACAATTGTAAACTTCCAGTGAGGGTGAGTCCACCATTATTTTAGGAAAAATATTTAACTGCAAAGCTCAATCTAACCAGTGTAGAATACAATTGCTCCCACGATCTTCTAAGGCAGCCCAGTGATATAGCTATAGACAAAACTGATTGCATCCTGCATTATCTACTCAATTCTCCAGTTTTCTTAGCAAGGTTTTTCAGAAGAGGTTTGCCATTTCTTCCTTCCTACAGCTAAGAGAGTAACGGGCCAAATGTCACTCAATTATCTTTGTACCTAAAATGGGAGTGGAAGCCATAGTTTCCCAGTTTCTGGACTGCTTCTAAATCACTACACCGTACTGGCTTTCTTACCTGCACTATATAAATTTTATTTTAAATAATTAGGTTCTTGACTTTTTATGTTCTACTCTAATCATCATCGTGTGTGTGTATGTGTGTGTGTAAATAATAGTGCATTGATGTGATTAGAGTAGAACATAAAAAGTCAAGAACCTAATTGTTTTGATATCATTTGATGTTTGAGCATAAATAGTCCAAATGCAGGACAATCTGGTTATCATAAAAGCACAGTTGGAATAAGCCATTAAGGTTACTGAGGCAAGAATCCAAATTTGACAATTCATTACAAGTGATTGTCTAGTCTCTGCCTGAATACATCCAATTGAACCCACCAACTCTCTAATATTATGTTTCCACAGGAAACACCAATATACTTTCTTTGCTTACCTTCAGATAGTTTCTTTTTATGGAATTGTTCATTATTTCAGTTATTAATTAAAAATGTAGAACAGTTCATTATTGAAAATAATGTCATAACTACAGTTAGGTACTATATGTATATTCATTTTGTTGTTGTTGTTTTGTTTGTTTCCAGCTTTTGACAGCATCCACACCAGAGAGCAGATTGATTTGGCTTGCTATTTCTGAAAATGGTATTAACATTCTTGAATACGACTGCATGGTAAGGAGAAAATAGTTTGAATACTTCATACATACCTGCAAAGGTTATTTATAGTATTAGACCAGCTTATATAAAATCAGAATTCAGCACACTTATAACTATGTGCTAAAGAAAGCAGCCTGTACAAGTGGTTCTTGTTCATTTAGATTCTCACTTTTAGAAAATATTCTTGAAAATTTACTTTTTAACTAGTAGTAATACGTCAATTACAATTTTTAGTATACAGGTGAAACTCAAAAAATTAGAATATCGTGCAAAAGTTCATTTATTTCAGTAATGCAACTTAAAAGGTGAACCTAATATATGAGATAGACGCATTACATGCAAAGCAAGATAGTTCAAACCGTGATTTGTCATAATTGAGATGATTATGGCTTACAGCTCATGAAAACCCCAAATCCACAATCTCAGAAAATTAGAATATTATGAAAAGGTTCAATATTCTAGGCTCAAAGTGTCCCACTCTAATCAGCTAATTAAGCCACAACACCTGCAAGGGGTTCCTGAGCCTTTAAATGGTCTCTCAGTCTGGTTCAGTAGGAAGCACAATCATGGGAAAGACTGCTGACCTGACAGTTGTGCAGAAAACCATAACTGACACCCTCCATAAGGAGGGAAAGCCTCAAAAGGTAATTGCAAAAGAAGTTGGATGTTCCCAAAGTGCTGTATCAAAGCACATAAATAGAAAGTTATGTGGAAGGGAAAAGTGTGGAAGAAAAAGGTGCACAAGCAGCAGGGATGACTGCAGCCTGGAGAGGATTGTCAGGAAAAAGCCATTCAAAAGTGTTGGGGACTTTCACAAGGAGTGGACTGAGGCTGGAGTCAGTGCATCAAGAGCCACCACACATGGACCTGGTCATGGGCTTCAAATGTCGTATTCCTCTTGTCAAGCCGCTCCTGAACAACAAACAACGTCAGAAGCGTCTTACCTGGGCTAAAGAAAAAAAGAACTGGTCTGTTGCTCAGTGGTCCAAAGTCCTCTTTTCTGATGAGAGCAACTTTTGCATCTCATTTGGAAACCAAGGACACAGAGTCTGGAGGAAGAATGGAGAGGCACACACTGCAAGATGCTTGAAGTCCAGTGTGAAGTTTCCACAGTCTGTGTTGATTTGGGGAGCCATGTCATCTGCTGGTGTTGGTCTACTGTGCTTCATTAAATCCAGGGTCAATGCAGCCGTCTACCAGGAGATTTTGGAGCACTTCATGCTTCCTTCCGCAGACGAGCTTTATGGGGATGCTGACTTCATTTTCCAGCAGGACTTGGCACCTGTCCACACTGCCAAAAGCACCAAAATGACTGTGGGATTACTGGGCTTGATTGGCCAGCAAACTCGCCTGACCTGAACCCCATAGAGAATCTATGGGGCATTGCTAAGAGAAATATGTGAGACATGAGACTGAACAATGCAGAAGAGCTGAAGGCCGCTATTGAAGCATCCTGGTCTTCCATAACACCTCAGCCGTGCCACAGATTGATAGCTTCCATGCCACACCGCATTGAGGCAGTAATTGCTGCAAAAGGGGCCCAGACTAAGTACTGAGTACATATGCATGCTTATACATTTCAGAGGTCCGATATTGTTCTATGTACAATCCTTGTTTTATTGATTGTATGTAATATTCTAATTTTCTGAGATTGTGGATTTGGGGTTTTCATGAGCTGTAAGCCATAATCATCTCAATTATGACAAATCACAGCTTGAACTATGTTGCTTTGCATGTAATGAGTCTATCCCATATATTAGTTTCACCTTTTAAGTTGCATTACTGAAATAAATGAACTTTTGCATGATATTCTAATTTTTCGAGTTTCACCTGTAAAGGAGATACAGTATATTCAGACTTGCAATATTGTTGTCAGTCCTTTGCGGTAGACCAGACAAGGAATCTTAATATATGAATGCTATTATATACAGTATTACAATATCTTGCAAGTATGAATGTGACCACCCACCTCCCTTTATCCTACAGAGAACTCAGGGTTAAGTCTGTGATGTTTTCTCAAATTATATTTCTGCTTTGGACAAAGATTGTTCTTATCTAACCATTGTTTTGGCTATAGCTCTTCCTCCTATTCTTCAAGGTTATTCTCACACCCAATTACAAAAAGTTATTACTAGAAAGTATGTCTTAGACCAGTGGTTCCCAAAGTGGGCGGTACCACCCCCAGGGGGCGGTGGGATGCCTTAGGGGGGCGCTAAGAGGCAAGGGGGGGGGTGTTCGAGGCACCGGCCCCGCAGGGTCACTGATTGCCGGCTACGCAGCCCATTGTTTCATCGCTCCATAGCCGGCACCTCAAATGTGAAACCCGCGCACGGTAAGTTTTGCCAAGCCTGGGGGTGGGAGAGAAAGGTGGGAGGTGGTAGAAAGGGGGCACCTTAGCTTTCAGGCTGCCCTCTCCGGTGGAAGTGGTGGAGGCACGCCAGAAGGCCCAAAAGCAAACCCTCCCAATGTGCGCAGTGGAAAGGGTGGGTGGTCCGGCGTTAGGGCCTCCTTCCCCAGAGAACAAGAGAGCGTGCAGCGCCCACACAGCCTCCACCTCTCCAGCCAGCTGGGCTTTCGCGCAGAATGCAGGTGGGTGCAGCTGCAGCTCTCCAAGGCGCATAGTTCAGTTTAGTTCGGCTCTACGTGGCCATCCCAGACCTAGAACCTAGCCTCCCTCTGCAGCCCGGTTCTTCCGATCGAGCCCTGCACTTGTTTGTTTGCTTGCTTAGTTTCCAAGTGATTGTTCCCTGCGCCTCCGCTGGTCTGGGCTGATTCTGCACCCGTTCCTCCTCCCGGGTGGAGCGTAAAGATGGTCGGAACACTTCCCCGAAGTTGGGAGTCTCTGAGCGTGTGCAGAGTACCTCTCCTTGCTTGGCCCGATGGAAGTGGACCTTGGGTTGAAGCAAAGAGGGTGAAGTCGGTCGCATCGCTGCCCTGGGGAGGTTGGCATTGCAAAATTGGATGCCAAAGAAAGAACTGGGGTAGGGGGCTGGAGAAGGGGCAGAGGGGCAGCTGCATTAAGGAGCAGATCTTAGCCATGGTTTATAAGCCAGAATCAAACAGCATGCTAAACTCAAAACCAGAATGGCTGATTGATATATTCAGCCCATGTTTCTCAACCTTGGCAACGTGTGGACTTCAATTCCCACTCTGGCTTTGCTCTACTTTCCCAAAATGCCGCCGCTGTCACATTCTTTCTGTCTGTCCGTCCATCCATCCCGACCAAAAGGTCTGCGTGTCTGTCTGCCTACCTGCTTACCTACCTGCCTGCCTGCCTGTCTTTCTGTCTACCTACCTATCTACCAATATAGATCTATCTACCTACCTATCTACCAATCTACCTTCCTACCTAACTATCCATACATTCATCCAAAAGGTCTGTCTGCCTGCCTACCTACCTGTCTCTCTCTATATATATATACATACATACATACATGGTATTCAGCTTCGTTCCCATGTCATTATAGTTGTGCTTTTAAAGTTGTAGAAACGTTTCGGCAGAATCTCATCTGCCATCATCAGGCTTCTGTATTATGTTCGTCTGTGAGTCAGACTTTCACAGCCATTTCAGGTTTAAATTTGGGCCTAGCCTACTGCTGTGCCAGGCTAGCCCCAAATTTAAAACTGAAACGGCTGTGAAAGTCTGACTCACAGACGAACACAATACAGAAGCCTGATGATGGCAGATGAGATTCTGTCGAAACGTTGCTACAACTTTAAAAGCACAACTGTAATGACGTGGGAAAATACCCGAACAAAGCTGGATAGCATACATGTAAGTACCCGCGAAAACTTAAGAAAACAAATACATACATACATACACACACACATACATACACACATGTTCGAAGAGCCAGCCCCGCAGGCACATTGGGAAAGTAGAGCAAAGCCAGTCTGGGAGGGAGGGAGGGGGAGACAGAGAGAGAGAGAGAGAGAGAGAGAGAGAGACCTGATGCATCAGATTGAAATGAGGCCTAGTTTAGACTGAGGCCCTTTTCCACATTGAAACATCTTTGCCAGCACATTGAAACATCTTTGGCTTCTGTTAAAGGTTTTGTGGACGAAACATGGTCAAGACTATCAGGAAGCTCTCACATTTTGTTGAGGCTTTAAACAGGATCCATTGGACCAGATCTCCACCCTAAAAATTACTTTTCCCCAATGTATTACAGTGCCAATTCTGAAGGAGGCAAAACCAAAATGTACTGGTAAATTACAAGGAGAACTCTCCCTTCTAACCCTGCTGGAGCAGGTGATTGGACTAGAATAGATATCTCATTATCTTTCTCCTCCCTCCCTCCTTTATTTCTTTTTCTTTCTGTCCCTTCCTTCCATCGCCCCTCTTTCTTTGTCCCTTTTTTCTTTCTTTCCCCTTTCTCTTTCTCTTTCTCTCTCTCTCTTTTCTCTCCCTCTCTTTCCCTCTCTCAGGCTCACCCCATTGACTTGACTTGCTTGGGCAGGTCCCTCCAGTGCAGTGGGCTCAATGGGGTGGACCTGCGGGGCCGGCACTTAGAACGCAGCAGTGGCAGCATGTTTGAAAAGTAGAGCAAAGCCAGAGGTTGGTAATTTTTGCTGCAAAGAATCACAAAAGCTTCTGGTTTGTGCACAAGAAGGGACACACACGTCAATGCAATTCAGCATATAAAATAAAGAGATTTATAAAAAATCAAGAATCGGCAAAGCATCTCTGATTAGATTTTATTCACTATTAGAATCTAATCAGAGATGCTTTGCCGATTCTAGTCCAATGACCTGCTCCAGCAGGGTTAGAAAGGAGTATGTGTGTATGTGTGTGCATGGCTGTCAAAACTCCAAAAACAGGTCAAGTATCTCTGGAGAGGCCAGTCATAAATTAGAACACTTGCTAAACAACCGGCCATTAAGTGAGGATCACTTGTTTGCCAGTCACCTGGCCATGCCCACCAAGTCACATGACCACCAAACTACACCTACCCAGTCATGTGACCAGCAAGCCATGCCCAGCCAGCAAGCTACGCCAGCCAGTCATGTGACCAGCAAGCCACACCCACCCAGTCACATGACCAGCAAGCCATGCCTACCCAGTCACGTGGCCAAGCCACACCCTCAAATTAGACCACTCCCACAGAAATTTGAATCCCACCTCTGGGTGGGGGGCACTGAGGATGAGTTTGTAGCACCAAGCGGGCAGTGGACTGACCAAGCTTGAGAACCACTGTCTTAGACCATAATGCCAAATATTTGTTCTAAAAAATCACATTGGAATGGATCCAGAGTTAATCATATTTAATATAGATAATTAAAATCAAAAGGGCTTAATTTAATTAGATATGGTCCCTCTGATTTGTAGGATATTTTTGAAGTATAATTAAGTCAGGATCCAATCTACCGGTACATATAATTCAATAAACACTATGACTGTGAATGTATTTGATGTCTATGTGTGATGGGTATAATATGTAGTGAGCATGCTGCAGAGTATTTTGGTTGAATTGATTCTGTGTCGGTCACTTTAGTAACAAAGGTTTAGAATGCAGTCCTGATAGATTATTACTGAAATGAAACATTCCCTTATAAATCATTCTAAAAATTACGTAATTCCTGAATTCAAAGCCATGTCTCTAAAATAAATAGACATTATTTTCTCTCTCTATTTCTTTTCCCTCTCTTTTATGGAACATCATTTCTTTTGCACTTCTAAGCGGTTAATACTGACATATTTGTATAAGAACCTAGTGACCTTTGGAGGGTTTCAAGAAGACTTTATGCTGGTGGTAAACAACATGAGTACAGAAGAGAAGCATACTGAAAAACTCTTGTTTACTTTTGCCAAACCAAAGGTTAGTATATTAAACAAAATTGTTTACCAGCTTTAAATGACATTGCATATGTAGAACAAAAGTAGACAACTAACATTCATAGAAATCTCCCTGCTTGATTGACTTTTAAGCTTTGTTTTTCAAAATGCTTTTCATCTAACATATAAGATTGGCATGGTTCAAACCAAAGGATTAGCACAATTTTTATTTTCAAGAATGTCTCTTGTTTCCAGATGGGTCTCAGGTATTTAGATGGCTGTAACTAATACTTTGCTTAAATTTAAACAAAATGAAAAGGTAAGTGGAAGGACGCAGGACTGCCTTTTAATAAATGTGTATTTAGTGATTGCTACAATTGTTATGAAAGCAATATATGAAGTAAAATGAGAAGAGAGAAAAGAGAATCAAGAATCTTTAGGAAAATATCCTCAAACAGTCAGATTCTGAGTGGTCTTCTCCCTTACGGTATTTGTTGAAAAATCTTTTTGACCTATAAGAGTGTTTCCTGATCTTTATTGGAGTATTATTTTCAAAATGCTAGAAGCATGTTTTCCAAATGAGTGGAGGCCAGAGGTTGTATTCAGCAGGTTCTGACCAGTTCTGGAGAACCAGTAGCGGAAATTTTGAATAGTTCAGATAACCGGCAAATACTACCCCTGACTGGAGATTTTACAGTCTCCTTCCCTGCCACACCCACCAAGCCACGCCCACAGAACCGGTAGTAAAAAATTTGAATCCTACCACTGGTAAAGGCATTTTCAACAAGAAAAGCTGATATCATAAACTGATACAAAGGAATCAAATCTCCTCCATATCCTTTGATTGATGGACACACTTTGACAACAATATTAATGATGCATTGGAGAAAATTTTGAATTGGAATTTTTAGACACACTCTACTTTTTGCCTCCCATTCAGTCCAAATAGAAAATTAGTCCAATTAGACAATTAAAATCTATTAAATGTGTTCTAAATGTATCATTACTATTAACTGCATGCATTTTGTTTTCAGATCCTTGAGATTACTCTACTTATTGCCAGCTATATTAACAATTTTCATCAACAAAAGAAGACAGTTCATGAATGTTCTGCTCCACAGTCAAGAAGTCCAAAATCTAATGATGTCGAATGTCATTCATTTTTACTGCAAAACAGACCAACCAAAGGACCTACTTTATTATGAAAAGTTCAAGTATCTATGAATAGTGAGGCTAAATTTAGGTTACTATTTTGAAAGGACAGTCTGTTGTAAATTAGAAATTAACAATATCTCTTGCACGTTTATTCTTCTACCAAGCTTGGGATTCTCCGATGTGAACTGTAAAAATTCAGATGATCCCTGGATGACAGTAAAAATATAGAAGAATGATCTTTTTGCCTTGGTAGCTATCTAGATTTTTGCACCCTGGAAGTAATAGTCCTACTCAAGCTGAAAGTTATGGTACACGAGAAATTGCACTTTTTTCATAATTATTAGAACATATTATATTATATTTTATATATGTGTGTGTGTGTGTGTGTGTGTGTGTGT